TCATTAACTATTTAGCCTCATTAACTATTTAGCCTCATTAACTATTTAGCCTCATCAACTATTTAGCCTCATCAACTATTTAGCCTCATTAACTATTTAGCCTCATTAACTATTTAGCCTCATCAACTATTCAGTCTCATTAAGTAATTAGTCTCATTAAGTAATTAGTCTCATTAACTAATTAGCCTCATCAACAATTCAGTCTCATTAAGTAATTAGTCTCATTAAGTGATTAGCCTCATTAAGTACACTGACATGCACTCTGCCGTCCAGGAGAGCCAGGATGAAGGAGTCTGCCATCCTGACGAAGTATCCTGCGACGTCCACCCTCGGGGACCCTTGCTGGGGCGGCACCATGGAGCCTTGCTCCCCTCGGGGGGAGAACCCCACCACCTGATGGGGGTAGAAGGGGTGAAGGGGTGAAGGTATGGCCATTATATGACATATATGCGCCAGAAATGGCATGCACCAGATAATGGCATATGAAACAGTCACTTCAAGGGATGACTGTAACAGTCACTTCAAGGGATGACTGTAACAGTCACTTCAAGGAATGACTGCAACAGTAATTTCAAGTCGTGCACCAGTAATTAGAGCGCGCACTAATTTGCATGTATAATTAATTAATAATGGTAAGCGACTTGTCATAGCAAGCATTGAACTATCTTTGCCGTGGCTAAGTTTTATCTTAATCGCGTCTCTTAGGAAAGTCTTTGTCGCTAAAGACGCTGCAAATAAAATAAGAAACAATTCACAATACTAAAAAAAATAATAATAAAAAATAATAATAATAAAATAATAAATTTTAATTTTGTAAACATTGCGCTAGACAAGATGAACATGAAATACGTCGTAAATATGAATTTAAATAGTGTAATAATAGGTATACTAATTTATAACATCGCGCTAGACAAGATGAACATGAAATACGTCGTAAATATAAAGTTAAATAGTGTAATACTAATAGGTATACTAACGGGGGTGAGGGAGGGGTAGTCCCCAGGGGTGGTGCTGGCTGGGGACGTGAGGGAGGAGCCCGTACGCGTCTCCCCCTTCTCCTCGTCGTAGGGATCACGTCGCTGCACCGTCTGCAACCCCAACATCTTAGCTCATCCCCAACACTGCAACCCCAACATCTTAAGCGCATCCCCAACACTGCAACCCCAACATCTTAAGTTCATCCCCAACACTGCAACCCCAACATCTCAAGTTCATCCCCAACACTGCAACCCTAACATCTTAGCTCATCCCCAACACTGCAACCCCAACATCTTAAGCAAATCCCCAACACTGCAACCCCAACATATACAGCTCATCCCCTACACTGCAACCCCAACATCTTAAGCAAATCCCCAACACTGCAACCCCAACACCTCAAGCTCATCCCAAGCAATAACGGCAATTTTCATAAAAAAAATAGTGACTACATTAATTATTTCATTTCACCGAATTACTCTGAAATTATTATTAATTTGTTGAAATTACATAAATTATAAACATATTACAGACCACGCAAGGTAGTTTAAGAAACATCCCTACAAGAACTTAGATTAGAAACAATAATCCATGATACATCCATGAACCAAAGGTAGTTTAAGAAACATTCCTACAAGAACTTGGATAAGAAACAATAATCCATGATACATCCATAAACCGACTGACCTGACATCCAGCCTTCATGAATGGGGCCCTCATCCATCGTCCCAGCCCCGTGGCCTCCCCACCGCCTCCCTCGGGGACGCTGCACAACACAAGCCTCACTAAAATACTACAAAACTTTATTATCAATTAACTCGTCAATGTCACGTTTTGCTCATCGAAAATTTCATTTCTGTTTAAATGCGTCGCATTTAAACGGAAGAAATTTGTTTCCATTACTAATAGCAGGAAAATATGACGGCGTCTTGAACTTGCGGCGTTTGATAAACAACAAATTGCGATGAGAAAATAAATTTAAATATTCGGAAACTAGTTGGCAAAATATAATTTTTTTACGCGTCGGAATTCAGCGGTTAATGTTCGATTAAAAATTATCACCGTTTAGAAGGAGCGAATTTTCATTTCGAAGAAAACCCAAAACCCAAATTAGATCTTTACTTGTGGAAAAAAAAAGACTGACTAGGCAATTAACAAAAACTGACAGTCTTGGGTCAAATATGAAAAAAAAAATGAAAAACCGCGACAGGAAAAACCGCAACAAATGAAAAACCGCGACAGGAAAAGATGCTATGTATGCAGCACCCGTAAAAGGAGGGGGACTGCTGCAGAAGATGTAGCCTCACCCGCTGGGGGACGGGAGGCTGTACTGGGCGGCGAGACAGCAGAGGGTGCCCAGCAGGAGGCCCAGGCTTCTCTGGGTATCCAGCAAGGGCGTGGCGAGGCGGCTGGGCTGGACGCTGCTCACCTGCCAACACAAAATTTACATTTGACACAAAATTTTAAGAATCGATGATAGAAAAAATATATATCTCTGCTCATTTTCTTTGAAAAAGGGATTATTACAAGCCTTAAATAAAATTTTACTCATAAGGGGAGCGTCTGGCCAAAATTTCTATCTCGGCTATTCACAGATGGACCACTTTGCAACTTGGTACGCATATGTAAAACAGAAAAATAGACGGCCTTTATTCGTGTCAATTTTCCGGAAAAAATGAAAGAAAACGAAAAATTCTTAGAAAACGGTCAAAAAGGGGGAATCGTAGAAATCTATCTCCCACCAGGGTTTTCAAGCTACAATATCGAGACGCATATCATTCGATACATAGAATACATAGAGACCATGTCTATCGCTTTATTGTAGCTTTTTTTGAAATTCGAATTTTTGTGGGTGGGGGAGCATTTTTCATAAATTTTTCGAACATTTTTCGATTTCCCCCTGTTCCCCGCCCTTTTTTTCAAAATATTTTCAAAACTATACCAAAATTTAAAAAAAGTGCGATAATTGAATAGATCTGTTATTTGCAAATCGATTGGTATATCTCTCATCGCTGCAGCATAAAAACTCTAAGATGAAATAGGTTTGCAGTGACAATAAGTGTGATTGTTCAGTAGAGCGCGACTAAGGGGAGCGTCTGGCCAAAATTTTCCGATTTTAGCTTTTCCGGTTTTTATATATAGTCTCATCTTAAGGCTGGCATTCTGACCTATCCAACGATACCAAAATCGTTTCTGTACGTTGATTTATGCGTTCACGACAGATCCCGAGAGGGTTAGGGGTGGTGAAGTTCTTTCATATTTACATATCATAGGCGGAAATTCCCGGTAGCACACATAAATAGCTAGTCCAAACACGCTGTGCTTCAGTTATCCGCCTGCAGTCGTACGGGATGGTTCTCGTGCCGCCGTTCGCACCATCCTTGACAGAAATTTAGCTCCAGTATCTTCTAGTCTTGCAACCTTGAATGTCTATTTCGAGGCGCGCGCGACTTTGTCGGGCTCCACTGAAAAGTTAACTTTTTGTTACTGGAAAAATATCTCTTCCTACAGTTTTGAAGCTACAGCGATGAGAAATATACCATTCAATTCGCAAATAAAATATCTAGCGATTGGTTGTAGTTTTTTCAATTTCGTTATAGTTTTGAAAATAGTTAGAAAGAAGGGGGGGGGGAATGGAAAAAATCGAACCATTTTCGAAAATTTTACGAAAAATGCCCCCCCAGGCCACAAAAATTCGAATTTCAAAAAAAGCTACGACGAATCGATAAATATGGTCCTTACGCATCGAATGATATGCGTGTCGATGTTGTAGCTTGAAAATCCTAGGAAGAGATAGTTTTCCATAGTACCTACATCCCCTTTTTTGGCCGTTTCCTAAGAATTTCACGTTTTTTAATTTTTTTAGAACAATTTACAAGAATAAAAGCTGTCGATTTTTTGGTTTTACATGTGAACAAAGTGATCCGTCTGTAAATAGCCGAGTTAAAATTTTGGCCAGACGCTCCCCCTGGATGTTAAAGAACTTCACCACCCCTAACCCTTTCGGGATCTGTCGTTAACGTATAAATCAACGTACAGAGTTGGTTTTGGTACTGCATGTTGGATTGGTGAGAATGTCAGCTTTAAGATGAGACAAAAAACCGGAAAAGCCAAAATCCAAAATTTTTGGCCAGATGCTCCCTTTAAACTTTTTTAATTTAACTTTTTTAACTTACGACCCCTGTTAGCCCACTGGCCCATTTCAACACCACCTTGGTGATGGTGTTGAGGCGGGGGTTGAGGCAGCCCACCTTGGTGATGGTGTTGAGGCGGGGGTTGAGGCAGCCCACCTTGGTGATGGTGTTGAGGCAGGGGTTGAGGCAGCCCCCCACCAGGTAGGCCGTCATGAGGTCGTGGGGGAAGGCCGAGCTGCTGAAGGAGAAGCTGCCGTGCGCCGCGTCAGGCGCCTGCAGGCCGGGCGGAGCGTGGCACCAATTCCTGTATGGGTTTGAATTATTATACATTATATTATAATTTTTTATTTTCCTGTTTATTAATATATAATTATTTTCTATTATAATTATATTATATAATTAATTTACTCGCGCTTACTTACCACTTACAAGTTACTAGCCGTTCAGATTACCACTTCATCATTTGAATAACTTTACTATCGTTACTTGCTGACCACACTTGCTGTCAGGCCATTAACTATCAATAGCATCGACGATGGTCAACGTATAGTATAAAGACGATGGACAAGGAATAGTTGACCATCGAAACACGAATAGCATTGAGGACAGTCAATGTATCCGTACAGCGGCCATACCGAACGCACACATAGATTTTCGACATAACTTAGGTGCATAGAATCGAAAATTTTCCTCACTTATGCAACTTATTATTTTTATTATTCTACGAAGCATTTATCGTGACGTCTGGTACAAACGAACTTCGAGAGCACGTCACACACAAGATCAATAGCAAGCGAAAAATAAATAGACACAAGAAAGTATGGGAACGGATAAACTGGCCAAGCACTAGATTCATACGCTCTACGAAATAGTTTCGTCTTTAAGCGTCGACGAAACACCAGCATTGAAGGAGCCGAAGTTACGGAAGCCGGCAGACTCTTCCAAGTTCTGGCAGCGGCGACCACGGGAACACTTCGTTGCCGACGGTAGATAGACGTGTAGAGGGTACGACGAGGTCAGCTCTTGATGACGTGCGCAGTAGTCTTCTAGAGGATAGATGCGACACGAGCTGCAGACCTTCCGTGAGATAAGGAGGCGCCAGACCGTGAAGGCATAGGAACGTCAGAACAGCGACCTTGAACTGCGTGCGCTGCTGCATGCGCAGCCAGTGGAGATCGCGCAATATCGGCGTCACATGGTCGAATTTAGCGCATATTGCACACGAGTCGAGCAGCAGCGTTCATTACGGATTACAGTTTATTAATTGCCGTGTTCGGATGTCCATAGAGTGTGGCATTACCATAATCCAATCTGGTCAGAACGAGCGCCATGGTGCACCACAAGGGCCTCGAGGATCGGCCACGAAAGACAGCGGCTGCTGCTACGTATTCGTCGCAGAGCGACAAAGCAAGCGGTGGTGACTGTGGCAACGTGACTTTTCAAAGACAGTTCCAAGTCCAGCACAATTAATGACCAAGTTATGAACTGCGGACGCTGGCATGACGAACAAGTTGCCCACGCGAACAGGGTTGGCCGGAAGCTGATGCTGCGCCAAGCAGTCGCAAACCAATTAAAGTCGGTTTTTGATGCATTGAGCTGGAGCCGGTTGTAGCGCATCCAGTCAGAGACGGCGTCCATGCAGGCAGATAGACATTCGATCCTGCAACGCTGCAGCGTCAGCCGGTGCATCGTAGCCAAAAAATGCACCAGCCATAAATTTAGCTTGTGTGATAATATTTTGCCAAATATAATATATTTAGCTTGTGTTTCAAAATAATTGATTCACACTATGTGAATCGATTATATGCAATACGTCGACAGTATATAACAGAAGGAGGCTCTGGCCGAGAACTGATCCATGTGGTACGCCGCAAGAGATCAACTTAATCTATTATTACCATTTAATCAATTGCATCTTTCTATGTCACCCACCAAACAAAAATATCTAACACGATGTGTCCATATCAAATTGGGAACAACACCTCAATATACATACATGAAAACATATGGGATCGGAGACGGCGTACTCGAAAAATTGAATTAACCATTTCATGCTTGGAATAAAAATTAAATAAGGTTGCTGCTATTAGTTTTGAAGACGCTCGTCAAGTTTATGAACGATAAACTTTACATTAATGGTTTCCTGATTAATAATGATTAAAATAATGACTCATTAATAATGAGTCATTAGACGTAATTACTTGATCAGTTGAAGGTCATAGACGCGATCGTCCACGACGACCCAGCAGCCGCCCTCCTTGTTGTGGTTCTCCACGTCCTCCCTACTGAAGAGGGGGAGCTGGGGCGTCTTGCTGGCCCCCGGGGGGCTTTCTGGGGGGACAACATGAGACCGTTTTAGCACATATAGCCTTTTTAAAATTTTGGTATTGATATTAATAATGGATTACATGCAAATTTTTATCATAACAAGTTTGTTTCTATGAACGTGTCAGAAAATTTTGAAATGACAAAGCCACTTAAAAGAAAATTCCACCTTTACCGTCAAGACGTTTTAAATAACCAAATAACCGCGCCGCATGGTATGTCATCTGGCTGATCTGTGCTAAGGTTACAAGCAACTGAATATCAGTCAATAAATCACCTCTTCACGATCTCCATAATCAGTCAATAAATCACCTCTTCACGATCTCCATAATCAGTCAATAAATCACCTCTTCACGATCTCCATAATCAGTCAATAAATCACCTCTTCACCACCTCAATAATCAGTCAATTATTCGCCACCTATCGACACAGTGAATGCTTTTACCACGACCTCGATAATCAAAACTTCAAACAGGCGTCAAAATTAAAAAAAATGATTATTAAACTTAATTTCATTGCTGATGTCACCGATATTTTGCTATTCCTCTTATCGGCTTACACGCGATGTTCCCCCAATCCATAAAAAAATCCATGTTTGCCCCTGTAAGCCACTCACCACGCCCCTGGGAGTCACTCACCACGCCCCTGTAAGCCACTCACTACGCCCCTGGGAGCCACTCACCACGCCCCTGGTAGCCACTCACCACGCCCCTGGTAGCCACTCACCACGCCCCAGGTAGCCACTCACCACGCCCCTGTAAGCCATTCACTACGCCCCTGTAAGCCATTCACCACGCCCCTGGTAGCCACTCACCACGCCCCTGGTAGCTACTCACCAAAGACCCCCGGCCACCCCAGGTCCGAGTGGTCCAGGAGGCCAGCGTGAGGGGCGGCTCTATTAAACTCGTCGAGTGGCCCTATGAGTGCCACGAGGGGCTGCAGGAGGCCACAGCCCACGGCCACTCGGGGGGCGTGGTGGCACACCACCAGCAGGCTGATCACCAGCTCCCTCACCAGCAGTCCTGCACCATGGGAAATGACGTGTAAAAACGGTTATTTCGCGTTATTTTATCAATGTTCTCGAGGAAAAAAACGGTTATTTCATGTTATTTTACCGATGATTTTCTCGAGGAAAAAAACGGTTATTTTACGTTATTTTAACGAGAATGTTCTCGAAGAAAAAACCGTTACTTCACGTTATTTTATCGATGATGTTGTCGAGGAAAAAAAAACGAATATTTCACGTTATTTTATCGATGATGTTCTCGAGGGAAAAAATGGTTACTTCACGTTATTTTATCCATGATGTTCTCGAGGAAAAAACGGTTATATCACGTTATTTTATCGATGATGTTACCGTTTGTTTCAACTGCAACAAGACACGGTGAATGAGAGGCTAAAGAGCTCTAAAGTCTAAATAAATGCTTATTCTATCTTTTTTTCCATTTGTTATGTTCTTTTCTTTCAACCTTCAGCATGATTATAAACTGAATGTAAATAACATCCTCTAGATCTGGATCCTCTAGATATTCATAGAAACAAGTCTTAAATCCTACTTCGATATGGAAAATAAGCATAAATCTCTTAAAATTCATTCTGTTACGTGAATAAATTATATTCATTATCACCATAATCAATTATACTGATTATTACTATAATAAATTATATTGATAATTACTACAATAAATTATATTGATAATTACTATAATAAATTATGTTGATTATTACTATAATAAATTCTATTAATTAATACCATAATAAATGACATTAATTATTAATATTATTACAATCATGCCAGCTGCAAGAATCACGGCAGGTCTCACCAAGTATGTCCTTTGAGAGGATCTTGTAGAGGAGCGGCAGCAGAGACGACACTGGCGACGAAGGCGCCGACGAAGGGCAGGAGGAAGGTGAAGACGATGAAGAGGTGCACTTCAGGAGGGCCGTGCCCAACGTAAGCGTCTCCGTCACAAGCCCCACCAGCAGCTCTACGTACTTCTTCAGCAGCAGTCCGCACCCTTCGCTGGTGTTGCTGGTGTTATTGCTGGTGTTATTGCTGGTGTTATTGCTGGTGTTGGTGTTGTTATTGCTGGTGTTGGTGTCGTTGTTTGTGTCGTTGTTGGCGTGGTCTTTGTTGGCATTAGCTGCACTTGAGGGCTTGGGTGCTTGGCCAGAGCTCTTCGCTTCTAATGACAAGAAAGGAAAGTTGAAGCTATTAGACAATTAATATAAAAGACATAACCTCTGTTGTAATATTAAGAACACATAACAATAACATTCGATTTATTAGTAACACAAGGGGAAGACCAGTAGCTGGAGAGGTGTTAACACTAGGGAAAGACCACTAGCTGGGGAAGTGTTAAGACTAGGGGAAGACCAGTAGCTGGGGAGGTGTTAAGACTAGGGGAAGACCACTAGCTGGGGAAGTGTTAACACTAGGGGAAGACCAGTAGCTGGAGAGGTGTTAAGACTAGGGAAAGACCAGTAGACCAGTACTCCCCTCAGCCTATCACTACCACCTTCCAGTGACGAGGGCGACGTTGACGAGTCTGCTGACGAGGACGCGCTGGAATCTCAGCAGGAGCTGCAGGGACGCGGGGGGGTCGGCGTCCCCCCCAGCCTCGTTAGGGGGGCAGCACTCGCATTCCTCTCCCCCAAAGCTGCCCCCCTCAGGGCAATGGGAGGCCAGGGGGGAGGGCAGCAGCAGCGACACCAGCAGCTTGTCTGACTTCATGGACGACAGCGACTGAAAAATAGATAATTTTGTTAAATAATAATTTTGTTTTATAATAATTATGTTATATATAATAATTTTGTTAATAATAATTTTGTTATAGAATTTATATGATAATTTTGTTGATAATAATTTTGTTAAATAATAATTTTGTTAATAAATAATTTTGTTAATTAATAATTTTGTTACATAATAATTTTGTTAATAAATAATGTTGTAATTAATAATTTTGCTAAATAATAATTTTGTTATTAATAATTAGATATGTTAAAGAATAATTTTATTTAATAATAATTTTGTTTAATAATAATTTTTTTAAATAATGATTACGTTAAATAATAATTTTGCTAAAAAATAATATAGAAATAATTGTCTACAATTTACAGCATCTGTAAAATCAAAATCCAAAAAACAACGTTAATAATGAATGATAAATAATAATCTTGAAGCACGATAATTAGGTAAATCACAAGACGCATCTCCACAAGCCACATGAGCAAAAGAAAACCAGTTCAATTCACTACACTCAATGAAATAAAACATTGTCCAAATAACGAAACACTTTTTGAAACACTTTTTGCCATAGTGTGGGTCATTCTGACCCAGTTTGGCCAGGTAAGAAAGCGTGTCAGTGCTACACGCGTTAAGTGTGTCACATAACATAAGTGTGTCACGCGTTAAGTGTGTCACGTTAAGTGTGTCACATTTTTACGAGATATACTTAACAAAAGATTTTCAACCTTATTCACAATATTTGAAAATTTCTAAAAGCTCAGAAAATTGATTATTCAAGTCCATAAAATATAAATTAATGAAATATATATATATAAAATTATATATAATTATAAAATATTAAAACAAATTAGGTAAAAAAAATGATAATTCAAAATGATAAAATTCAAACACGTACAAACGTACAAAAAAAATTCAATGGCCCAAAAAGTTACACATTTTTAATTTTGACTCGGTGAAATAAAAATTTAGAAAAATTAGTCTAAATTTCAACGAAACTCGATTAATAGTATAATTGATTGTTGTAACTAGATGTAAATAAACATGGAGGCATAAAGAGACTTTAGTAGAAACTTTACTGTGGAATAGAATGTAAAACTATATTAATTAAAAAAAGTATTGATCTCAAGTATTAAAGTATTAATTCTCATATTATTTAAAGTATTGGTTGAAGTATCAGAGTAGGTATTAATTTAAGTATTATTTGGAGCATTAATTAAATAATCAAAGTATTAATTAGAGTAATAATTAGAGAGGTATCCCCCCACCAGGAGGCGGGCGTTGGTGCTGCAGGAGGCGTTCCTGAGCAGCTGGCTGAGCAGGTGCAGCAGCGGCAGGCCCCCGCACTGCTCTGACCCCCCAGACTCCCCCAGACCCCCAGCAGGAGGGTCCTCCTTCTTGCTCCCGTTCTCAGCTTGATCCATTTCAACTGAATAATTAATAATTACATGTAATAATAACGTTTAATAAGTACAAGTAATAATTATGAATAATAATTACCAGCAATAATTACAAGTAAAAATTATGAGTAATAATTACAAGTAATAATTATGAGTAATAATTAGAAGTAATAATTACAATAAATAATTACAAGTAATAATTATGAGTAATAATTATGAGTATTAATTACAAGTAATAATTACAAGTAATACCGTAATTATAAGTAATTATTAGAAGTAATAATTACAAGTCAATTAATAATCCATTTCAACTGCAACACACACAACGCCTCGCATCAATGTTTGCTTACGAAACTTCAACTTAAACTTTATCAGAAGATGACAAGTAAATCGTAATTTCGTCATAAAATACGTTAATTTTGTACGAACTTTTTACAGAAAGCCTTGATAATCGTACATTTTTTACAATACTTGCGTTGAAAAAGCAACATATTTCGAGTAAGATATTAAATGATCTAAGTAAGTACTAACTAATCAATATTAAGTAAACAACTAATTATTTTATTGCAAACAATACATGAATCGATCGAACTCAGGTTGGATGAATCGTTAGAAAAATATATTATAAAAAATACTTTATACAAAAAATACCTTATACAAAAAATACCTCATAAAAATACCTTATAAAAATACCTTATACAAAAAATACCTTATAAAAAATACCTCATACAAAAAAAACTTAAGATCCCCCAGGTAACACGTACCAAGACTTCGTTCAGAGACAACAACCCAAGGTCATGCTGCAAGCACCAACATTGACGGCGAGCAAACACTGCCTACCAGCGATACCGAGACACGAACTGAGCTCACCAAGGCTCGAACCCGCGACTCACTCCTCTCATGTCGGAGTCGCTATAACTGTTAACTGTTAACACTGTTAACTGTTAACTCTTAACTGTTAACACTGTTAACTGTTAGCTCTTAACTGTTAACGCTGTTAACTCTTAACTGTTAACGCTGTTAACAGTTAACACCACCACGCTACAATGGCGCTGGTTACTGCGCATACAGCAGCACACAACAACCTAACTCTAGCGTAAATGATGCACGAGTGCACACACCAAAGCACCCCTGTATACACAACACAAGCACCCCTGTATACACCACACAAGCACCCCTGTATACACCACACAAGCACCCCTGTATACACCACACAATCATTGTATACACAACACAAGCACCCCTGTATACACCACACAAGCACCCCTGTATACACCACACAAGCACCCCTGTATACACCACACAAGCATTGTATACACACAAGCAATGCCCTGGTCGATGGCTGCCTCCAGTCCGCCGTCCGCCATGAGGCTTGCCACCAGCAGGTCCAGCATGAAGCTCCGGCCGCTGGTGTCCATAGCGCCCGCTACTGCACCACAACAACAAACTCCTTCAAATAACTTAAGGGGAGCGTCTACCCTAAAATTTTGGATTTTGACTTTACCGGGTTTTAGTCTCATCTTAAAGCTGACATTCTGGCCTATCCAACGGTACCAAAACCATCTCTGTACGTTGATTTATGTGTTTACGACAGATCATGAAAGGGAGGGGGGTGGGGGAATTCTTTAACAAATAGAATAGGAGGAAATTAGCTGCCGAGCACTTTAAATAGAGTGCCTGCTTCAGCTGCAGCTCAGTTACCCGCCTGGCGTCGCATGAGGAGGTGTACATGCAGTCGCTCCCACCATCCTTGACAGGAATCAAGCTCCAGTAACGTTTAGTTTTGTATCCTTGCTACATTGAGTGACTAGTGCGATGCGCGCGGGACTTTGTCGCGCTCTCCTGAACATTCACACTTATTGTCACGGCAAACCTATCTCCTCCTAGAGTTTTGAAGCTACAGCGATGAGACATATGCCATTCGAATCGTAAATAAAATTTCTAGAAAACATCCGGTAATTTTTTTCGATTTCGTTATTGTTTGGATTATATTTTGCAAAAAATGGGGGCGGAGGGGGGAAAATTTGAAATTTTTTGGGGAAAATTTTGGAAAATACCGCCCTCCTCCCAAACAAATTCGAAATTCAAAAAAAAAAGATCGAATGGATTTTAGATATGATCGTTACAAATCGAATGATGCGTGTCTCGATGTTGTAGCACGATATCTGTACGAGGAGATCGATTTTTAAAGTACCCTCTTTTTCACCGTTTTCTATGAATTCCACGTTTTCTTTCATTTTCTTCGAAAAATTTATATGAACAAAAAGTTCTTAGATTTCTGTTTTACATAAGTGTACCAACTTTCAAGACGATCCGTTCGTAAATTAAAAAGCTTTCAATATAGGGAGACGGTCCCCTTAATTAACTGATAACAACTAATATGGACTAATATCAATAAACTTGATTATAAGAACTAATTAATATGAATTAAATAATATCAGCTAATTCAATTACTAACTTATAACAACTAACTCGATTAACAAACTCGTCTGTTACGTTTCTTTAAAAAAATATCATTATTAATTCATGAGTAATACAGCACAGGATGAGACCATGGTTCAATTAGAGAATTAAAATAATCATCATCAAATTTTTTTCATATCACAAAATATTAGAAAACCGCAAGCTTCCTCAATCATCATCACTTACAGAAGGAAAACAATAAATTTTTCCAAAGATAAGAACAAATTTTTTCCTAAGATAAAAATAATTTTTTCCCAAGATGAGAATACATTTTTTCCCAAGATAGGAATGAATTTTTCCCCAAGATAGGAATACTTTTTTTCTCATAATAAGAATAAATTTTTCCAAAGATAATAATACTTTTTCCCCATGATAATAATAAATTTTTTCCAAAGATAAGAAACAAATTTCCCGAAGATAAGAATAATTTTTTCCCAAGGTAAGAATAATTTTCTCTCAAGAATAAAAATTTTCCCAGGATTAGAATAAACTTTTTCCCAATATAGGAATAAATTTTTTCCCCAAGATAAGACTAAATATTTCCCCAGGATAAGAATAAATATTTCCCCAGAATAAGAATAAATATTTCCCCAGGATAACAATAAATTTTTCCCCAAGATAAGAATACATTCTCTCTAAGATAAGAATAAATTTTTTCCCCAAGATAAGACTGCATATTTCCCTAGCATAAGTAAGATGATGACTCACCCTGGGTGTTGGTGGGGTGTGGGGGGGTGGGGAGGAGGTCGGAGAGGGCGGCCGTACCCTCGGCGGGGGTGGGGAGGAGGTACGACCAGCCGTACTGCAGGGCGCCCTGCGCTGCTTGCTGTTCATGCATCAATTAGCAATTATTAATTTTTTTGTCCAATTATCAACCCAATTATTGATCCCATTATCAATTATCAATCATTATCATTTTTGTTCAATTATCGATCCCATTATCAATTATCAATCATTATCATTTCCTGTATAGAAGGCAGCACGTCAGGCGTGGTGGCGAGGCTGACGATGGTCAGCTTGAGGCTCGTCAGCAGTGGGGAGCCGGGGACGAGACCGAGCTCCTCCCCAGGCACTGAGTTCTCCAGCCCCGCCAGGAACTGCAATGTGGGGAGGTGGGGGGATTTATTTATTTAAATGTAGGGAAGTTATTATTTAAACGTTAAAATTTAAATAACTGTGAATTAATAATAATAAATAATAATTGACCTTGTGATGTGATTGAAGTAAGAGAATTTTTAGCCGAATTATTGAAATTTAAATAATTGTGGGTGAATAATAATAAATAATAATTGAGTTTGTGACGTGAGTGACTGAGGTAAGGAAAATTTTAACCAAATTGTTAAAATTTAAATAAATGTTTGTAAATAATAATACATAATAATCCAGCTTGCGATGTGATTGAAGTAAGAAAAGTTTTAGCCGAATTATTGAAGAAAAGGAAAAAAATAACTGAAAAATATATAATGCTATTTATATTACAGCAATAAAATTATTACCCATATTACAATATTATTAATAAATAAATAAAAATCTCGCCTGTAGCCTGGTGAGGTTGAGGGCGGCCACCACGAGACACTCCTGCTCCTGGTGGGGGACGACGTGGGTGTCGAGGAGCCCTTGGGAGCAACGGGTGAGGACGTGGCAGAGACGTGTCATGGCATCACCCGTCACGTCCACCACGTACGGCACCACACGTGGCAGTGTCACACGTCCCCCACACGTCCATATCACCGTCTGTCACGGCAGCATGTTGCACGTCATGTCACCACAGCAAATAAGTCTAACAAAATTTACTATATCAGTATATATAAATTTCCTATAATAATAAAACATCATTTAATTAATATAATATAATGAAATGTTATATAATATTTTACAATATTTTATAATATAATAACAAAAAATATATTATAAAATAATATAAGTTAATATAATATAATGTAGTATATTGTTATATAATATAATAATCTTGGTTAATACAATAAGAAATAGGTAATATATCATAACATAATATAATACAATATAATACAGTTCATCGCCTATAGCAATATTCATTTAATTAATTATTCACCTGATGGGGTCCACAGGCGACCCCCTTGACCTGGGCCTGCCTGAGGTGGGGGCACTCGACGGGGGTCCAGACGGTGCTGCCCCCCACGCCCCCCAGCTGCCCCCGCGCGTTGTTCCCCCACACCAGCACCTCCCCCGCCGTCGTCACCACCACCGCGTGGCTTGCCCCCACCGCCATGTCCCGCACCTCGTACCCTGAGAGGGGCAACATACAGCCCCTCATCACAGCCCCTCACCACCACAGCTCCTCACCACCACAGCTCCTCACCACCACAGCCCCTCACCACCACAGCCCCTCACCACCACAGCCCCTCACCACTACAGCCCCTCACCACCACAGCCCCTCACCACCACAGCCCCTCACCACCACAGCCCCTCACCACAACAATCATATTCAATGATTCAGTGAATTACTACTCATCATAATGTTACCAATTAGTCAATTACTGATGAATTAACGAATACAACTAACGATCATGATCGTAGAGGAAAACTGCTAATTCCTCATAATTACTGCAGATAACAGATTACTTTGATATGATATTATGGTATATGATAATAAGATACATTATACATAATACAATATGATAGTTATTACATCGTTGGAGAAACCAAGGAAAAAAAGTATATAAAAAAACAAAGCGACTGCGAGAAATATATAATAAAATAATATAATATGAGTCCATATAAGATGAGCCCATATAAGATGGGTCCATAATATACATAAATAGGGTCCATATACGCGAAGTGGGTCACCGTGACCCACCATTGAGGCCGGGCACGAGAGTGGGCACCCGCAGGGGCGCCTCCTCGCCCACGCCGGTCCTGCCGTTGTCGCCGCGGCCGAAGGTGTAGACGCGGCCACCGCACCCCACCACAGCACTGAACTGCTGGCCGCACAGCACGCGCTGTGCCACCACGTCCTGCTGCTGTGCACCGTGCAGTGATTAGTGATACTGAACTGCTGGCCGCACAGCACGCGCTGTGCCACCACGTCCTGCTGCTGTGCACCGTGCAGTGATTAGTGATACTGATCTATAATTAGTTCAGTATACTAATTAGTTCAGCTAGTAATTAGGCAGTAATAATTAGCCTGAACAGGCATATTAGGCAGTAATAAATAGGTAGTAATTAGGCAGTAATATAATTAGTTCAGGCAGTAATTAGTGAAACTGATTCACCATGCAGTGATTAGTGATACTGCCACCACGTCCTGCTGCTGTGCACCGTACAGTGTACATTGCGTCATACAGTGCACCGTATGACGCAATGCATGTCACAATATATCATGTAAATGTGTGATGCTAACAATGATTAGTGAATGAATGCGATTCTGCGAACTACATTTCCCCTTTATTAAATCGTGAGTCACAAAGCTCCCGAACTAAGTTGATTACTTTAGGAGCGGAACAGTCGAATCAGAAGTGGTTCAAGGAATGTGCCGAAATTGTGCAAGATGTCGCCGAGAGTGAAGAAATTCAAACTAAGCCTAACGCGACCGCTTCCCTCGGTCGAAGCGCCGTCCTCTACTCCCTCTACCTCCGCCTGCCCCAACGCTGTCCTAAATCATACCCCGCCTCCCTTACCCTTTACTCGCACCCCACCCCTTGACCGCAGCAGCCCAGAGAAGGATGGGGAAGGGGTAACCCTTCCTCTCCCTCACACAACACACACTCCCGCAGGCCGTTTAAATTTAAATGACTCGGCTGCCACTCCGTCTGGTCACAAACACATCTGCTGGAGGTATCTTCAGGGAAATTGCGATCAGGAAAATAAAGGACTGAGCTGTGTGTACCCTCACCCTAAGATTTGTCACAATTTTTCAACATTTGGAAGCAAAAACCCCCGTGGATGCAAAAATGGGAAATACTGCCCATTCTACCATCCGTTATTGTGCTGGAATACTATCAAAAATATAGCTTGCAAACGAGATAAATGTCACTTTCATCACCTTAGACTCAGCCCGCAGGCGGGAAGAGATACCAAAGGGAGACGGGATTTTGATACTTCATCCCCGGAACACCAGATAGACTCTACTGCCAAACTCAAAATTTCAGAAAAAATGCATTTAAAAAAAAACTTTTCTGGGAAGGGCGAATCTGTTGTAATCAGAAATACAACAGGGCAGTCCCAAAAATTACCACACCGGACACCACATCCTACTGCAGTGGAGAACAACACAGAGAACTCGATATCAGGCGTAGCAATTTTTTAGACCTGCAGAGGCAAGTAGATCATATTTAGCAACAACTGTTGAAACTGCACGAAGAACAGCAGAAATCACAGCAACAAATGCAACAGCTGCGGAGCCAGCGACCCTGGCAGTGCAGTGTTACAGCAACTAAGTAGTACGCAAAGAAGGGAAGAGTCTAGCATCATGACAGCTAACATAGAGGGGCTCTTCCCAAGAAGAAAACGCCACAAGATCGGCGTACTTAAAGAAATTGCTGAGACAAAAGGAATAATCATGCTTGCCTTAACCGAGTCACACCTAAGAGAATATATCAAAGGTTGAGAAATCGAGATGAAAATTTAAGGCTTTCAACATTACCGAGCAGATCGAAAAAAGGGAGAAGAAGAGGAGGCGTTATAGTCTACCTCAGAAACTTCCTCGCGGCAAAAAAAGTTCCCCTGCATTTAGGCTCAAATGGATATGTGGAACATGTTATACTATTCATTCCCCATCTCCATCTATGCATAACCGACAGCCTGACTGCCCGCCTGAAAAATTCAATGAAACTCTCGATAGAATAGAAACAGAGATTGCCAACTTAGGTGAACCTTCCCCAAATATTGTGGTTGCGGGAGATTTTAACCTACCACACATACGATGGCCAAACTTGGACTGTTTAGAACGGCGCAGAAATCAAACCAGAAACCAGGCAACACAACTACTACGATTCGCTAGGGAGCACTTGCTAAGCCAACAGGTTCTGGTGACAACAAGAGAACATAATATCCTGGATCTATTCTTCACCAGCAATGAAGAACTGGTTGCTGATATTCATCACCACCAAATCCTGGCCATGCTGGAGGAGGGGGCCGGGGTGGACGTGGTGTATTTGGACTTCGCGAAAGCGTTTGACAAAGTTGAGCATGGAGTGCTTTTTAGAAAATTAAGACTGCTGGGAGTCGGAGGTGAATTGCTGGCATGGATCCACAGCTTCCTAACAGAAAGACTACAAGCTGTCGTAGGAGGCTCGAGATCGAGCGGGGATAGGGTGAAGAGTGGAGTAGCACAGGGAACGGTACTCGGTCCAATCCTCTTCCTCATCCACATCGCCGACATAGATGTAGCAGAGAACCACACCACTGAATCGTCATTCGGGGACGACACCAGGATATTAATGACCATCACGGACACGGCGGACTGTGAGAGGTTGCAAGAAGACCTCTCTGCAATATATGACTGGGCCCTAGTGAACAACATGCAGTTCAACGGGACCAAGTTTGAGGTCCTGAGGTACCGAGGAACCAGAAGAGCTGGAATGGATCACCGCTACCTGGCACCTGGCAACTCGAAAATCGAAGAGAAGCGACTCGTTCGCGATATAGGAGTGTTGATGAACAATCGGGTCAATTTTGGTGATCTCATAACGGCAATAACCGCAAGAGGTAGACGTCAGATAGGGTGGATCTCTCGGACGTTCAGAACAAGAGAAGCGGAACCGATGATCACACTCTTTAAAGCCCTTGAAATACCAATTTTCGAATACTGCTGCCAGCTCAGGACCCCGTTCACACTCGGCGCAGTGCGGCAACTGGAAGGTGTCGAGCGAACCTTCACTTCCAGGATCAGAGGGATGGAAGAGTTGAACTACTGGGAGAGGTTGAGGCGCCTGGGTCTGTACTCACTGCAGAGGAGACGGGAGAGGTATGTCATTTTGTACACATTAAAATGATAACCGGAATGGTGCCAAACTTCGAGAGCGAGACCTTCAGGATTGAGACATATCACAACGAGAGAAGGGGGAGACTGTGCAAGATCCCCCTCCTCCCTACGTAACAGATCCGCAGTCAGGTTTCAATCCCTGCGGAAGGATCACTTTCCGTGGCAGGGCCAAGGCTGTTCAACGCCCTACCAAGGGATCTAAGAGAGGGAGAGTTCACCCCTGGAGACCTTCAAGAGACAACTAGACGTGTTCCTGAGCACAATTCCAGATCGACCTCCCCTGCAACACTACCAGCGGCGAGAAGCAAGCAACAGCATCGTGCATCAGGTGGCCCAAATGAGGGCGGATGAACGATAATCAGAGGCGGCGATCCATCGTGGCCTGGGACTGCTACGTCCCAAACAAGTACAAAGATTACCAAGAATGATTAGTGAATGAATGCGATGAATGAATTGCGATAAATTGTGACGAATTGCGATGAATGTCATGATTTAAAATGCATACGATGCATATTTCGCTCTATGCTTAGTAAGATTGCAAAGCCTGTTAATGTTTTGCTTACTGTTGTTTAACTGTGCGTGACTGTGCACGCTGTTTAATGGAATGAAGAAATGATTAATTATATTAAACACTATATTTATATATAGTGACTCATCTATTAATTTTTTAAACAAGTTTTTAAACTGAAAAATATAAAGCAGGTGGAAGTCAAGCTAAACTGAATAGAATAATAATTATTATTTGTTGCCATGTCAAAACTAATATATTGAAAAACCGTATTAAAACGTAACTGATTTTAAAATTAATCAAGAGATATAGTCTAATTATATAAATAAGAGATATAGTCTAATTATATTGAGAAAAGATATAGTCTAATTAAATTGACAACGTTCATACATAACAATAACATATACACTCTGTTAAATGAGTGAGAATTCGTCTAAATAACGCTGCACTTTCTGAGCTTATGGGTCATCCTGACCTAGTTTGGTCCGAAAAAAGTCACTATTTGTACAACACGACCCATTCAAATCTTTGAGTGCCACCCATATATCCTCCAGTATCATTTTATTATCACTTTATTATCTTTTTATTATCATTGTACAGTACCACGAGGTGGGTGAGGAGGGTGGGTGTAGGGGTGCCCGTACACCCCCCCATGCCGAGTTTGCCGTAGTCGCCGTCCCCCCAGCCGTAGACCGTCCCCTCAGCCGTCACGGCCAGGCTCTGCGCGTCCCCGCTGCCACATGCCACGTCCACCACACGCACGTCTGCCACATGCATGCGTACGTTATGGCGTAACATTACAATTCTTGTGCTATTGTAATGTTAATATACGTATAATAAATTTCTATAATAGGTATATATACATATAATATAATATTTGTATAGTTAGGCAGAATTTTTTCTTCTATGAATAAAAAAATAATATAATATATGCATATATAACGTTGTGTATAATAAATTATTATATTATAATATTATTAAATAGAAAATATTGTGATTAGTACAATTATTGTGAGTGGAGAATATTGTGATTACAATGCAACACTAGTCACCCTTAAGGGCAGCAATACAGCAACACTAGTCACCCTTAAGGACAGCAACACTAGTCACCCTTAAGAGCAGCAACACTAGTCACCCTTAAGAGCAGCAACACTAGTCACCCTTAAGAGCAGCAACACTAGTCACCCTTAAGAGCAGCAACACTAGTCACCCTTAAGAGCAGCAACACTAGTCACCCTTAAGGACAGCAACACTAGTCACCCTTAAGGGCCTGGACGAGCGTGGGGGCGGGGTGGTCGTGGTGGTCGCCGTGCCCCAGTCTGCCGTAGCTGCCGCGCCCCCACGTGTACAGCGACCCTGACCCCGTCACCGCCGCACTGTGCGTCGCCCCCACCGCAACCTGCGGGGGGTGATGTATGATTACTTTTAATTATTACTCTCAATTATTACTCTCAATTATTACTCTCAATTATTACTCTCAATTATTACTCTTAATTATTACTCTTAATTATTACTCTTAATTATTACTCTTAATTATTACTCTTAATTATTACGTACTCTTTATTATTACTCTTATTTATTACTCTTAATTATTACTCTGCCACCTGCAAGGGGCGATGCACAATTACTCTTAATTATTACCCTGCCACCAGCTGCAGGAGCAAGAAAGTAATTACTTTACAATATTACTCTGCCACCTGCGACCCCCACTAGGAGATGGAGGAGGTTTGGGTGAGGTATGACTCATCTATATTAATATGCCACCTGCCGCGGGTGGTAAAGGCATCACCCATTATTTTCATGATGCAACCAAATTAATAATTATGAAAAATAAATAATAATATTCATTTGAGACAAGATGCACAGACATGATGCATGTAAGAATGTTATCCGCACTACTGCGCTGTATAGTACGAAACAATTGATTTGTAAATATTCAAATAAGTCGATAAGATATTATTAGAATATTCTCAAATATTGCCATTACCTGTTCTAAGGCCTAGCCAGTCAAGTTAAAACACTTTAGAATAGAATAGAAGTGTCGGCGTTGAAGACATAGGCCCATGGCCTGTTGCCGATTCTTGAACTTTTCTTGACTTGATTCACAAGGGATCCGGCCTTTGGAACCCGATCTTTCCATAACTGACGATTGATTGAGATAGCTGCTGGACTTATTGCCTGGTATTGGACTTTGTCTCTGGAGTCTTTGTGAGGCTAACAAAGCTATTATAGACTGCAGTGCGCTAGTCTCAGGTGCGAGTAAATTTCGAATAGTGCTCTTTAATAGGTGCCTATATGGATTATTTTATTAGGTATTTAGGAAATTATCTTCCTGTATTGTTCATTTCTACGTATATTTATCGTCATTCGTTTATCTCGGCAGGACAGAACGAAGTCCCTCTCCACTCTATAGTTCTCTAATTTTTATCAAGTTTAAGATTTCAAGAATCTGGGGTTATCTTGAATACATTTATGACTTTTTAATTATTAACTGGACCCGATATCATCACAATCCATATACACGCCTTACATATACACAGACACACACAACACATCACATTTATATTAAAATAGTTTTAAAGTAAAAGAGTGGTTAAATATAAATATATTTAAAATAAAATAGTATAAATCAATTACTCACCGTTACAATGTCGCTGAGCCCCGGGATGAGGGTGGGGAGGGGGCGCGCATCCCTGTCCCCCAACCCCAGCCAGCCCCCCTCGTTGCTTGCCCCCCACGACAGCACCTGCGTCATAGTTCACAGTGAACTCATTCATTATTTGCATACATTTAATGCTGATAATGTACTACTCATTCATCATTTGCATACATTTTATGCTGATAATCTAATCCTAATTCATCATTTGCATACATTTAATAATATTAACCAGCTAATCCATCTAACAGAAAGGCACAGATTTAAGTCATGTCATTCATTCAATACATACATTGTTATTTGTCCATACAATGTATGCATAAACAGTGACACAAAATCTGATCACCTGTTCAACAGTAACATTACATTGAATGTGTAAAATATTCATTTGATATTATGCTGAGATTTGTTTCAGTCACGGAATGTATTATAGTTTTGTATGCAGTATACTGTAATATAGTATACTGTAATATAGTATACTGTAATATAATATATAATAATATAGTAGAACGTAACTGAAGTATGCCATAATTGCTATACCGTCTATGCCATATTAGTCGCCACCTGAGAGATACTGCACTTAACTCGCCGTTCGTTAACAAAAACTGCATTATATACAAATAAAAAAAACTGCATTATATACAAATCATAACATCATTGTCACAACACATCATTGTCATCACTGTTTTTATTTCGCAAGAAATTCGTTTCTGTTTATAAAATTAGTTTCAGTTTAGAAAATTCGTTTCAGTTAAGAAAATTCGTTTCAGTTTATAAAATTAGGTTCAGTTTAGAAAAGTAGTTTATTTAGAAAATTAGTTTGTTTAGAAATTTAGTTTGCCTATAAAATTAGTTCTTTTATAAAATTAGTTTCAGTTTATAAAACTAGTTTCAGTTTAGAAAATTAGTTTGTTTAGAAAATTAGTTTGTTTATAATATTAGTTTGTTTATAAAATTAGTTTGTTTATCAAATTAGTTTCACTTTATAAAATTAGTTTCAGCTTCGTTTGTAGAATAATAGTTTCTAATGAAGCACTCAAAGAATTAAGCGGGTGTTTGCAGAAATAGCAATGCACTTTTTTGCCCTGAGTGAGTCATCGCAACCCCTCGTTTAAATGGCGTATCACTGATACGTGCGGTAAAATGGTGTATCAACATTTGAACAATTTGACCCAGTCTTTTCCTGGGTGAGGCCGGCGACATGTGTGCTGTGGCGACATATGTACTGTGGCGACATATGTGCTGTGGCGACATATGTGCTGTTTCGACATATGTGCTGTGGCGACATATGTGCTGTTTCGACATATGTGCTGTGGCGACATAAGTTCTGTGGCGACATAAGTGCTGTGGCGACATAAGTTCTGTGGCGACACGAGTGCTGTGACGACAGGAGTGCTGTGGCGACATGAGTGCTGTGGCGACATAAGTACTATGGCGACTTTAGTGACGTGGACATTATGCTGTTAGAAAAACGGTCCCACTGGCATTCTAGTGGCCGGTCGCCCCGCGAAAATAAACTGTTTCACCGTTTATATCAGATGTTTTACGGATTTCTAGTGTTAAATTAGAATAAAAACGGCAACACGGTGTTTCTTTTCACGTGCCGACCGGCCACTGAAACGCCGGTAATACCGTTAAAGGTAATTTTTCTAACAGTGTAGCAAGTCACACGGATGTGGCGACTTTAGTGACATGGACATGAGCAGGTCACAGGGATGATGTTATTATTATTATTATTATTATATTTATTATTATTATTATTATTATTAGTAGTAGTAGTAGTAGTAGTATTATTATAATATTATTATTATTATTATTATTATTAGTAGTAGTAGTAGTAGTATTATTATTATATTATTATTATTATTATTATTATTATACTATTATTATTATAATTATTATTATCATTATTATTATTATTATTGACGGCGCTAGACTGACGGTGCGGGCGGTGGTGACGGCAAGGAAGTGCCTGGCGTCGGCGTGGCTGCGTACGCGCGTCACCACGACGCCCCCCGGCACACGCAGCTCCTGGGGCGCTCCTGACGTGTCCCTGGCAACAGTGGCAACTATAGTAATAACAACAACTAACACCGTCACAGTAACAACATCAAGAACAATAGCAATAATAGAGTAAGAACAAGATTAAGAGTAACAAGAACAGTAACAGTAATAACAATAACAATAAGAATAGTAACAACAACAAGAATGGAAACTATAAAAACAATAACAAGAACAATGACAACAATAACAAGAACAATGACAACAATAACAACGACAATAACAAGAACAATGACGACAAACACAATAGTAACAACAACAAGAATGGAAACTATAAAAACAATAACAAAAACAATGACGACAAACACAATAGTAACAACAACAATAACAGCAATAAAAACAACAATAACAGCAATAACGACAATAACAACAAGAATAATGACACAGTAGCAACTCAAGAAAATTAATGAGACTTCATCTAAACAGCGCTGCACTTCTTGCCTTTGTGTGGGTCATCCTGACTCGATTTTCCCCCTATTAAAAGACATATCATTGCTACGTGCGCTCCCTGCTCACGCTGTATGTGAGAGGGTATCACTGTTTGGTCGATATGACACATTCATTTCTATGAGGGCCCAACCAGGTTAAAAAGCGATTATTCTGCATGCTTCAATACATTCATAAGCATAAGCATTATATAATGTAATATTATTATATAACGATGATATATAATGAATCATCGTTAAATGAAAAACAGGGACAACGGGAATAATCCCAGCAGGAAATAACCACCATTAAGATATGAACTGTATGACGCTACCGTTACAAAAATAATTATTAATAAAAAATAAAATGTCAAAAGTACAATATTACTGATACCGTAAAATGGGGTAACTTTGACCACTTTTTTTCAAAATGATGCCATTTTTTTACTAGATAAGTTAAACTTAAATTGAAACATGCAAAATACAGGTCTAGACTCTAGCTTTACTCACCATAAATTGCTGGCTCCTGCCTCTCATAGTTTTGATGTAATTTCAAAAAAAGTGATGGTCTTTGTTACCCCAGCTCTTGGGGTTTCTTTGACCGGGTGGTAAAATCAATTTTATTTTTTGGTAAAATAACTCCAAATAACTCCAGGTTGTGGTGCATTGTAGTAGAACTCTTCTAGTTACATATGCAAAAGACAGATTTTAGGAAAGTGTCATAGTTTGCAAATGGGCGGCGCCGCCCCCCAATGGGCGAAATGTGACCACCTAATGGCAGCCGTGACGGGGTAACATTGACCGGTTTGGAAATTAAGTAAAAATTACCATATATAAGACTCTATAGAGTCTGTAACATGAAGAAAAAAAAACATTAATAGGTGTATCAAACATAAAATATGTTATGTAGGTACCTATGGTAATTTTAACTTAATTTCCTAGCTGGTCAATGTTACCCCGTCACGGCTGCCATTAGGTGGTCAAAGTTCCCAATTGGGGGGGGGGGGCGCCCCCCATTTGCAAACTATGACACTTTCCTAAAATTTGTTTTTTGCATATGTAACTAGAAGAGTTCTACTACAATGCATCAAAACCTGGAGTTATTTTACCAAAAAATAAAAAAATTTGAGGGGGTACTCCGACAGGCTTTGAATAATAGCTCTTTTTCGTGGGTCACATTATTAATTTTTTAACCTATTAGATATGCAAACTTTTTGAATCTTTCTATTTGTGTTACGTACGTACCCTCAGTATTAAGCCTTTGATGGCCATTGACAAAATTTTTCTATGTCAAGTCGTTTTTGAGTTTTGGGGGTTTTTGTTAAAAAAAACGAAAAGTGGTCAAAGTTACCCCGCCGGTCAAAGTAACCCCATTTTACGGTACTCCAATGTATAATGTGACTTCGACAATGGAATTGTAAAATTATAGCATGATAAATTCTTTGGGAAAAATCATGGACGTAATATGTTAGAGTTAAACATAGTTACATAGGTATAGTTACATAAATATAGTTATATAATAGTTAATATGTAAAAAAAAATCATCTTTGCTCACCCTCGAGCCACATAAGGCACGTTATAGAGCGCCCCGTGGGTGGTGAGGACGACGAAGGAGGTGTCACAGCAGGCAACCTCAGCGACGCTGAGGGCGGCCAGAGGCTCGTAGTAGTTCAGTGCCGCGGCGGACGCCGAGGAGGGAGCACACGTCTGCTGGCTCTCGTGACTCACCATGCCCCATGTGATTATCTGCACAAACGAGACTACGATTAACGGCATATCATCTTATAATCAGGGCTAAACACGAGAATAAAGTGTTCAGCTCTCAAGTTGGCTTAATAAATTGCGTAGGTAGTAAAGTTCCAAGCTATGAAAGATATAATGAGTAAGAACAAAAATGTAGGGAACAATTTCAATTGAGAACAGCCATCTCTTTATACTCATAAATATATTTAAAATGAATCATGTTAGAGTTCCTGTTTGGAGAGATTAACTTTTAGTGTCACGCATTTTGCGTGAAATTCATTGAGTCACGAGTTAAATTCTAAAACATAATAGGAGTGTATGAAACATGACTAACTTCAATCAAACAATCAAATTTAACAACGAACGAAATGCAGCAATGGTGAGAAAATTTTCGCACAGAAAATTATATTATATTATAACATGATTTATAACTAATTATAATTTCTATTAATTATTAATAATTAAAATTAATTATATACTAATTATTAAAAAATTATCAGGTATGTAAGACACCTGAGAGTGTTTGCTGGAGTGTGGGGTGAGGGGGGCTGTGGCAGTAGGCAGGCGGGGAGGCAGGAGAGGGCAGGCGAGACGGTCCACATGACACATCACTACCACAGCTGCCTGCTCCAGGTCCACAGGCGACGTGTCGTCTTCAGGCAGCTCAAGATACCGCAGGAGACTCTCCGTCGGGCTCGTCTGTGTGGTACAAGTCAACTTCAATATTGCTGTTCATTTTTACAACACTTCTCTTTAACTTCACTTCTTGTATGTTTGTTTGTCTGTCTGTGTCTGTCTGCTACAAATCTTGTAATCGAAATTTAATACACTTCTACTTATCCTATCGATCTGAAATTTTGCACACTTGTGTAAAGTTGAAGACAATGCATGAATCAAATGTCAAAATAAATTATTTTTAAAATTTAAATTTTTTTTTTCAAATTAAAAAAATTGAAAAAATAATTTTATCAGCTCCAAATATTATAACTGATATTTGACACACTTTTACCTGTCTAATTGATCCGAAATTTTGCACACTTGTGTGAAGTAAGAGGCAATGCATGAATCAATTGACAGAATAAATAATTTTGAAAAAAAATATATATATTAAAAAAATTTAGATAGGTACCTACCTATATTAAAACATTTGAAAAGTTAACTTTTTAATTTTTTAAAGTTAGATGAGAAATTCATTGTACATCTGTAAGATTGGAGATATTGGATTCTTTGAAAGTGTTGTCTTTAAAAAGTAATTTTTAAACGTATATTATTTATTATTATTATACCACTACAATCACCACACACCATCACCCCAGATGCAGGTGCACCCCACACTATCACCCCTGGACTCACGGCATCGAGGGTGGGGAGAACCTCCTTGTGGGGGCGGCGCCCCTGGCCGACAGGGGAGGGGGGCGTGATCGCCTGCAGGCGACGCAGCAGCGGCACCAGAGGCGCGCTGGAGCACTCGCCACTCACGCGGTTGTCCGCCTATACAATACATTATTTATTGAATATTTGTTACATGCATTGTATATTGAACATTTGTAACATGCATTGCTTATTGAACATTTGTAACATGCATTGCTTATTGAACATTTGTAACATGCATTGCTTATTGAACATTTGTACCATGCATTACTTATTGAATATTTGTTACATGCATTGTATATTGATCATTTGTAACATGCATTACTTATTGAATATTTGTTACATGCATTGTATATTGATCATTTGTAACATGCATTCGCTAATGAAAACATCTTTATTATGAAAATATCATTCCTAAATAATCATTTTCTATTAAACACATGTTGAAAATTTAAAATTGTTCAATACCTATACTACATTTTATACTGAACATTTGTAACATATATTCTCTATTGAACATTTGTAACTTACATTGCTTATTGAACACATCTTTATTCTGAACATATCATTCTTAAACAAATAATAATTTTCTATTAAACACATGTCGAAAATTTATAATATTTCAATACCTACTACATACTACATTTTTTTATTGAACATTTGAACATTTTTCAAGATATATATATCTATAAAAAATTGATCATCAATATGTATAAAAATGAAAACATATATCAATTTTCACAGTAAATGCATTCTTAATTGAAAACTCATTATTGGTCAATAAATGAGAACTTATTCAAATCATGATTATCAGACGAATAAAATGAAGTTACATGCATTGTTTATATAAAATAAACCATGTGCCGCGCATAATTTATAAATCTTTCTCAAACGGCAACATGTAACTGAGATATTGTGTAATATTTTGGTCCACATGGTGCCTGGCTCCTGTACCTGGATGGGCTGGTTCCTGTACCTATATGGGCTGGTTCCTGTACCTGGATGGGCTGGTTTCTGTCCCTGGTTCACCTGGTTTCGGTCCTTGGTTCACCTAGTTTCTGTCCCAGGTTTACCAGGTTTCTGTCCCTGGTTCACCTAATTTCTGTCCCTAGTTCACTCACCTGGTTTCTGTCCCTGGTTCACCTAGTGTCTGTCCCTGGTTCACCTGATTTCTGTCCCTGGTTCACATGATTCCTGTCCCTGGTTCACATAATTTCCGTCCCTGGTTCACCTGATTTCTGTCCCTTGTTCACCTGATTTCTGTCCCTGGTTCACCTGATTTCTGTCCCAGGTTCACCTGATTTCTGTCCCTGGTTCACATAATTTCTGTCCCTGGTTCACATAATTTCTGTCCCTGGTTTACCTAATTTCTGTCCCTGGTTCACATAATTTCTGTCGCTGGTTCACCTAATTTCTGTCGCTGGTTCACCTAATTTCTGTCGCTGGTTCACATAATTTCTGCCCCTGGTTCACCTAATTTCTGTTCCTGGTTCACCAGGTTTCTGTCCCTGGTTCACATAATTTCCGTCCCTGGTTCGCCTGATTTCTGTCCCTGGTTCACCTGATTTCTGTCCCTGGTTCACCTGATTTCTGTCCCTGGTTCACCTAATTTCTGTCCCTGGTTTACCTAATTTCTGCCCCTGGTTCACATAATTTCTGTCCTTGGTTTACCTAATTTCTGCCCCTGGTTCACATAATTTATGTCGCTGGTTCACCTGATTTCTGTCCCTGGTTCACCTGATTTCTGTCCCTGGTTCACCTAATTTCTGTCCCTGGTTTACCTAATTTCTGTCCCTTGGTTCACCTAATTTCTGCCCCTGGTTCACCTAATGTCTGCTCCTAGTTCACCTAATGTCTGCCGCTGGTTCACCTAATGTCTGCTCCTAGTTCACCAAATGTCTGCCGCTGGTTCACCTGATTCCTGGCGTGGTCCCAGGCCTGCAGCAGGAGCAGCACGCCCGACAGCAGGGCCGAGAGGGTGGCACGTTGCAGGTTCAGCTGCAGCACCAGCAGCAGCGCCAGGTGCCGGTCCATGAGGGGGGCACACACGGGGGCCATGGGGGCGCGCCCCACGCTGTTCCCCAAGATGGACGACATGCTCACTGCTCAACAAAATATAATTAGTAATTTAAACTACTATTTTTCCAGGGATAAGTGCGAAAAGTGAAAGGATTATCATCAGAGTTTGTTATCATATTTATATCAAAGTGAGAGCAAAATAAAGTAAAATAAATTTAGCTTGGACCCGCTTAAATTTCCTTTTATTCTAATTCAATCAAGGATAATATCAATTTGGTAACAAATATGCAAGTTAGATGACGGTAATATCTTAATTAATAGAAGTAGAAGCAGTACAAATAAACATAGTGAATGAATAATGGTTCACAACATCATTGATGTCTCAGCCATTAGAACTAGAAACAACATAGCACTAAACAATAAAGTTCTGCTTGTACTCAACTAGTGTCATCACACATCATACCCAGTCACTAAATAACTTCAACAAGAAGTACAGAATTACCTCTTACCATTAAAATTGCCATTACCAATTACCACTAAACTAACATTTCAGATATGGTACTCAAGTGACATTAATGTTAGTAAACAATATCATCATACCCCGTCACTAAATAACTAGAACAAGAAGTACAGAATTACCACTTAATATTAAAATTACCACTTAACATTAAAATTACCATTACAATTACCATTAAACGAACACATTAGTTGCTGTGGTTCTCAAGTGTCATCAATGTTAGTCAACAAATAGTATCATTAATAGTAATAGAACAGACTGCGAGACGAGGCGGTGTTGGAGTTGCCGAGAACAACGCTAAATATGATCACACAACGTCACTGACTACATGACTGACTGTGAGACGATGCGGTGTTGGAGTTGCCGAGGACGACGCTAAATATGATCACACAACGTCACTGACTACATGACTGACTGTGAGACGAGGCGGTGTTGGCGTTGCCGAGGACAACGCTAAATATGATCACACGTCACTGACTACATGACTGACTGTGAGACGAGGCGGTGTTGGAGTTGCCGAGAACAACGCTGACGAGGAAGGTGTTAGCGCGGGTCATAGCGTCGAGCCAGACGCTGGACAGCGTCGCCTCGTCGAACAGACACGCCTCAGGCAGCGTCTCCAGCGCGCTCAGCGACTCCTGCGTCAGGAGTGATGTGTCCATGATATTGTGTGATTATTATAATATTCTTAATATTATATTATATACCTAATTTCAGAGAGACCATGATATTGTGTGATTATTATAATATTCTTAATATTATGTTATATACCTTATTTTACAGAGACCATGATATTGTGTTAGTATTATGATATTCTTAATATTATATTATATAATTTCACAGAGACTATGCAATTGTGTTAGTATTATGATATTCTTAATACTATTTTATAAACCTAATTTCAGAGAGACTATGATATTTTGTCATTATTATGATGTTCCTAATATTATATTATATTATTTCACAGAGACCATGCTATGGTGTTATTATTAAATTATTCCTAATATTATAATATATGATTTCACAGAGACCATGCTATTGTGCTATTATTATAATGTTGTTAAATTTCACAGACTATACTATTGTGTTATTATTATAATATTCCTAATATTATAATATATGATTTCACAGAGACCAAGCTTTTATATGACTAGTACAATATTCTAAGTATTCTAGAATATAATTTTATGGTTTCCATGCTTTTGCGAGACGAATAATCTCAATGTTATATAGAATTATTTGATGACGAGAAATATCAATGACTAGCGGGGGCGAGAATAGTTCAAATTTTCACAGCTATTATGCTATTATAATATATAATATCTATTGCATTATTCATGATTTCTCTTTCATCATTGTTTTTATAGGAGGCAAGCAAAAGTGAGTGTAATTCATGTATATAATATTATTGACACTATTGGTATATGCATGTTATGTGTTCGGTGACATCAGCAGTTTATCACTCGCAATTATTATTAACAAAGCTATTTTTAAGTCCACACTTGTATTTACATTGAAAATGTATTGGATTACAGTATGAATTGTACGAGGATTTTAAGCATAGACTCCAATTATGATTTAAGTAGACAAAACTATTAGTGAAGGAATATATAGTAGACAAAACTATTAGTGAAGGAATATATAGTAGACAAAACTATTAGTGAAGGAATATATAGTAGACAAAACTATTAGTGAAGGAATATATACCTACTACAATATTTGGCATCTATATAACAGTTACGATCCTATTATGGTGGTCATTAATATTATTTCAAGTGTACCAATTGACCTGAGGCTTTCAACTACAAACTACTGCAGGTATCGTGCAGCTGTTTACATCAGAGATACTTTCTAAGTAATTGAGCTAACTGCAGCACAAGCTTACGGATTTACTGTAAAAAAATAAATCTTCGTCACCAATATAAAATTTATTGCCAGTTTACACAGGACAAGATGATAAATACTGGTATAAAGTGTGCCACATGAAAATTAGTTCAAATAATACTCATCGATGATTCATAAATGATAACATTATAGACAATTATGAACGAAGTATCATTTTAGGGACTATATTAACGCTATAGACTAAATGTCTATAATCAATAATATACCCAACTTCTCAGTGTTTCAGTTAGAATTTACTCAATACTGTACTACTATTACTTACAAATCCATTCTTGAATTGACCTATGACATTTCAATCTGAATATGGAAATTTTTTCTGCCAACAAGGACAAATTATTTTCCTATTTAAATATTGAAATGATTCATTTTATGTAACTAAAATAGCGTCGTAACCCGGCCAGACGGTAATTAAAAATATCCAGAGAAATAGAATGACCCCCCCCCCCAGACAACAGAGAAATAAAATAGGAGAAAATAAGAGTCAAAAGACGTCACCTGCAGCAGCTCAGTGCAAAGATCGGCGTCTTCCCCAGAGCGCCAAGCTCGCCTCAGGAAGGCGAAGGCGAAACTGAGCGCGGCCCGTGATCCCACGCGGGCCAGTCCCAACGTGGCGCTCAGTGTGTTGTCGGGCTCACGGGCACGGTTATCTGAGTCACGGGCACGGTTATCTAAGTCACGAGCACGGTTATCTGCGTCACGGGCACGGTTATCTGAGTCACGGGCACGATTGTCAGTGCCGATGTCATGGCCGCTCTTGCCTAAGGTTCCTTTGGCAGCCAAAGTTTGGTTCCTCTTAGCGTTTTCGCTCTTAGTGTCGAGAGTGACGCCGACGTCCAAGACATGAGATTTGTTTTCAACGGCGGATTTTGCGTCACCAGAGCAAATCTGAAGCTGGGATCGTCTAAGCGCCACCAAGTACCTGGGGAGAGCGGATAAATAAATTATATTGTACACTGAAAAAAACGCGAGTTACTAAAAGGTAAGGAATGAAAAAAGAATATTATAGGCAAGTGGAAAAATGTAGGGACTTCATAACTGAGATGAACATTAACCATGAATAGCAAGGGTCAAAAAAAACCAGTGACCTTACATTGCATAGCAAGCAGTTGTTTTCCTTGCATCGAGTTTTTTATTTCACGAACAGCACTAAAATTCTTTCTCAACTTGTAATCCTAGGAAATAAACAAAAAATGTCAATCCACTAGCGTTTAAACTGCAAAGTTTCTTGTATCACATTTCACAAAAACAATCTCTTAAAACGTGCAATTCGAGATTTTGTTGAATTTCTGTTCAAGTGTTTTCATTCGCATTTATTGTTGCTGTTTGGTAACCGCCGTCATTATCTTCAGACTCCCAATCAACTCCAGATTCACAATTTCATCATTATTTTCATCTAAATTATTTACGAGTCTATATCTGCTTCTATATTTTTCATAATCGAAAGAATTCCAATTCTTAATTACTATGATTTGCGTGATATTCATTTTCTTCATAATTGTATCAAACATAATTGTATCTAACACTAAATGGAGACGTAAATGTTATGCACACAACAATTTTGAGCTGTTGCTAACAAACATGGAACCATAGCAATGACTGAGTTCAGAGAAGTTCAGATCTTGATCTTAATTAGCACTAGATAAATTTTTAGGAGGCATTCCTGAAAATTGTTGTGGCAGTCAATGCATTAAAAGACGCGCGAACCAATATACAAAATATTTAACAACTGACAATGGAGGCTCAGTTTATTTTTTGTTGTCAGAATGTGGGCGGCAAGTGATTGGCGTCAAGGCTGGTGCATCAGCATGACCTTGGGTTATTCTTCAAAACAAACTCCATGTACGGTACGTGTTAGCCAAGTTATCTCACGGTCGCAAGGTTGTATTTAACTACAGAAAATTACCGCTGCATGACCATGAACTGCTGCTGTATGCGGTCGTTGCAGAGAGTGGAGGCAGCAGCAGCGGTGCAGCGCTGCACCTGTTCACACTGGAGCTTGTCAAGGCACAGCTGCTGTGCTGCTGCGCTGGGCTGTTCTCCCCACGTCCAGGAGGCTATGAGGCTGCCAGACGTAGGTAGCTCACGCTCTGATAATAATTACAACAATTAGTTCTTAGTGTTATTATAAGTTACAACAATAAGTTCTTAGTGTTAATTATAAATTACAACGATTAGTTCTTAGTGTTATTATAAGTTACAACAATAAGTTCTTAGTGTTAATTATAAATTACAACGATTAGTTCTTCATGTTAATTATAAATTACAACAATTATTTCTTAGTGTTGATCATAAATTACCACAATTGGTTCTTAGTGTTAATTATAAATTAGAACAAGAAGTCCTTAGTTTAAATTATTTTCAAGCAGCAGGCTACATCATAAATGACCAAGGGGATTTAATGCATGAGCATCTCACAAGGCTGAAGTTTCGTAATGAACACATGGTTCATTAATTAATTAAATTCTCAGATTGAGAACATTAGTGTCAACAGGTTGATTGACCTACAACTGCATAATCAATGATGATGATAATCCAATTTTATTTTCCTAAAATTGTCAATTAATCAATTAGAAGTCACCTGAACACATTTAAGAATTATCAAAACTACTGGCAGTATTAGAAAGTTGTCATATTGGATTCACACAAGATTTTTGCTCAAATCTCCTTTATTAAAAACATTGGGGAATAATTTCACACACCTACAATTCTCACACACAAAAGGAGAGGGCCAAAATTTAATAGGTACATATTAGCAAACAATTCAGTATTTCAAGTAAATATTATACCCAGTCTATGCTCACTTTCTTAAATAAGATTCCTCACAACATTTCAACAAAACCTTTACTGACAAGCAAGTACAGAAGTTGTAGTACCTACAAATACTGCATCACTTATAGGTATTTTTTTTACAAACAAAGACTGGCAAATAAACACTAATTTATAATCTCACCAAACTGAATTTTCTCTTCCCTCTCTATTTTGTGGCAGGCCTTGCAGTTACAGTTGCTGATATCACTGCATGTCTGTCCGCTGCAGCAGGCGCACTCAAGGGTGTTCACTCCACAGTAGAGACGTCCATTTGAGCCTGGTTATTTTAACAGAACAATTAAACATTAGCCGCATCAATTATTCATTATTATATATTAAATGAGGATAAAAGATATGACATTATTAATTCATAAATTTCTTATCTAAAAAATTTACAAATCATCAAAAAATTGTATTCTGAAAAATCAAGAAGAAATTTATCAGCATATCACATGATTGTTAGGAAGTTTATTCTAAAATATTACTGGAAAAAAATATTAATCTTGTCAAATTTTATATACAAAGCACAAATTACAAAGCAGAAATTATTTGTCAACATGGTATCTTCCCCAACAAAATTAAAACATGAACATTTTTTGCCTATTTTTGACAAAGTTATATGTAGTATTCATTTTACATCCATGTTGTTTACAACAATAATTACACATGCTGCTAACACTAGGTTCATTAATACAAAATTTCCAACAGCCATAACAAGATAAATTCCAAACAATAAACAAAATCAAGAAAACGAACCTCTGTGTACAGTTTTCTTTTCAGCTTCACAAGTGTAAGTCTTTGGAGGAAAAGTCTTCTCTACTTCATTATCAAGAACCAGAGTGTTGTACAGACTGTTGAGTGTAGCCTCATCAGTGAGTTTTTGTAGGTCACAAGTCAGCCATTTCTGATCATAGCGAGGGCTTGTATAAAGCCCCACCTGCAATCAAAGTTATCAACTATATATAGTCATGAGAAATTACACTTCTAAACCAAAACTTACTAAAATTCCATAACCTATGTAACCATTTCCACCAGAAATAACTTTAATGGCATTAATGAGCTTTATGAGATTTCACATTATTTTTTATCTCTTACTTAGAAGAAATTTTGATCACATTAATTATCCTGTGCCAAAATGCAACAAAATTAATTTTTCTTACTATCTATGATTTTATGAAGAAGTCTAAGATGACACAATAAAAGTCAACATCTACTTCAGAATATAATACGTACTATCTGCAGACAAGTTACCTGCTTCCTACATTATCCTAGAAATCTCATTTAGCATTAATGCACAGAATTTTTTTTCATTATACTAGAATTCATTTCAAAAAAGGAAAAATCAGTAAAAAATTTTGCCAATATATTCAAAGTCAGAACTAATGTAATGGTACAATTTAATGCAAACCTTATTTTTCAGAGCCTTCCAGGTTTCTGCCCTGCCAGCAACTTCACAGCCCATGACAGTTGGTGACTCAGCAGAGTTTGCAACTCCTGTGCTTGGTGGCACCACAATGGAAGTGGCCCACCTCAGGGTCTTAGGAGCCATTCTCCCCCGGCCTCCTTCAATGCCAGGGGATACTGGTGCTGGCAGGCTCATGGCCGGTAAAAAATTACAGACTAGTCCTGGATTTTGCTTCCTCCCTTTTTAGATAAAATAACTACAAATTTAATTTGTAACAAGCATTACACCAAAATCACTGGTAGATTTTACAACAGCCAAACAAGATTTGTTCTAGAAAAGGAAAATTAAATTTGGTGAAAAATATATACAGCAATGGACAATGGGTTCAGCATGGGTATTAATGAACAATGGGTATTGTTGGGTTCAGCAGTACAACAGGTTGCCCAAATGAGGGCGGATGAACGATAACCAGAGGTGGCAATCCATCGTGGCCTGGGACTGCTATGTCCCAAACAAATACTAAGGACTAATCAGTGATTCACTAATACTAGTTATCAGGCCTGGCTATGACAACAAGTACCTATATATTGACTCTGACAGTAATATAACCAAAGCACCTTTTGGTAACAACCAAAAACAGCTTGTCTTATGCCTTACCTAGTGGCAGAGAAGCATTGGAAAAACAAAGCTAATGAAGTCAAGTGGTGCATAGGAGCAATGGAAACTGGTCCATTTAGCCCCTTTGACAGTACAGGGTTTAGTTGATGACTGGGGAATGGGGATTGTTGTTGACTATCTAAGGAAAGCTTTCCACCTTGGGTAGAAAGATTTTTTACAAGGGAACTTGCATTTTTATTCTTAGAATTCCATCCTGGACTGACTGCAGCTAGAGCTAGGTATGTAATCTTCAAGGAAACATTCTATTTTGACTTTTTGAGACTATGTTTTGCAGGATATTTTGGCTGGAACCACTATGCAGAGAGTGGATGAATATAGCAAGATCTTTGGCGACGCTTCAGTAGCCAAATTTTCGCCTTCAGAAGATCTTGCCGACACATTTAGATTGAAATTCTTGCATTTAATATATTTCTCAGTCTTCGGCCAACTATTTAGAAAAAAAGCTCTGGAAAAGCTTTTTTAGCTCTGGGAGGCTCTGGCCCTTTGAATCTGTGGGGCAGCATTTGTGACCAGCCTCAGAGGCTCAGACCATGTGGATTTGCAAAGTGATTAAAGGTCATCCACACTCAGGAAGATGTATATAAACGGGGAATTTTCTCGCGTATATATAGCTTTTAATATTTCGTTCGCGCACGCGTTCGCGTAAATCACGGTCATCGATTCCACGTGGCGTAGCACTCGGCGCGGGCCGCGGAGCAGAGGGTGGATGCAGCGAAGCTTGTCCGGAAATCAGTTGCGATGAGTTCCCGCAAAAAATGTAAACGTTTTTTCGATTGCATAGTTTCGGTCACATTAGAGTGGTCAGACTGCTTTGTTACATGTTCAGTTGACACTTGCTGTACAATTGGACTGTTTTTAGGGTAAAATTAGTTATGTGGGGTAACATGTGCCTGCAACCTTTTAAATACGTTTGTGGCTTGTAAATAGTTCGTCATTACTCAGCGTAAATGGCTTTTCATTAAAAATTACCCGGCAACGCATTTTTAAAATGGCCGGCGACGCTTTGGGCTTAAAAATCCATATATTGGCGATGCTGCATCCACCCTCTGCATAGTGGGTCTGGAACATTGATGTAATGCAGATTGTGCCATCATTGCACATGTTGAAAATTTTATTAATCAATATGTTTGCAAAGTTTCAAACTGCATTGCAATTTTTTCAATCAATCAAAAATGCATGACATTAGAGTGGCAAGATTTCATACCTACTAAAATTATATGATATTAGAGCCAGGATATTTCAGAAGAAAGTAGGACTTTTCCAGCCCTGAATTAACTGTTTAGATACCTAGGTGATAGCTGATAGGTCTAGACTAGACTCACTAGAGGAAGAGGTCCTTCAATTAAGACTTTGAAAATCCTATCATTCATGATTCAGACCACTATGCAGAGGGTGGATGCAGCGTCGCCGATATATGGATTTTTAAGCCCAAAGCGTCGCCGGCCATTTTAAAGATGCGTCGCCGGGTAATTTTTAATGAAAAGCCATTTACGCTGAGTAATGACAAACTATTTACAAGCCACGAACTTATTTACAAGGTTGCATACACGTGTTACCCCAAATAACTAATTTTACCCTAAAAACAGTCCGATTGTACAGCAAGTGTCAACTGAACATGTAATAAAGCAGTCTGACCGCTCTAATGTGACCGAAACTACGCAATCAAAAAAGACGTTGTTTACATTTTTTGTGGGAACTCATCGCAACTGATTTCCGGACAAGCTTTGCTGCATCGTAATCCATCCAACGTACCGGAAACCTTACTTTTTTTCTAAATAGTTGGCCGAAGACTGAGAAATATATTAAATGCAAGAATTTCAATCTAAATGTGTCGGCAAGATCTTCTGAAGGCGAAAATTTGGCTACTGAAGCGTCGCCAAAGATCTTGCAATATTCATCCACTCTCTGCACAGAGGGATTCAGATAGGCATAAAACCACCTTAAAAGTGAGCCTTGTAGCAGTGAACTGTGTCAAGGTTGAGCCTCTGGGAGGCTCTGGCCCTTTGAAATTTGAATCTGTGGGGCAGCATTTGTGACCAGCCTCAGAGGCTCAGACCATGTGGATTTGCAAAGTGATTAAAGGTCAAATAGGTCATAGGATTTTTCAGATCAGTCAGCCCAACTGCCCAAGTGGAAAATGTACTTCCCTGACAGATGTACCAAATTTTTGTACTTACACAGAGACCAGAGTTACAGTTGACCTTGAGCAGATTAGTACAATAAATAATAGTACATAGCTCATTCATCCGCTCCTTAGTCCTTACTTCAAGTCTCTGCTGAGCTTTGGGCTTGGCCGCTGCCCGCTTGGGCTTTCTGCCGGTTTGTTTTGTTGAATAATTCTGCTGATTATAAATATTTATATAGTTTATATCAATCAAATATTTATCGTGAAGCGTCGACGAATAGACAGAAGTACTTGCACACCTCCGAGGCTTCGACGTCGTCCGAACTCCGCAGCTTCAACCTGCAGATTCCCAGCATAAAACTGTCACCGAGCTAATGCAGGTCTTCAAAACGGTGAGACCCTTACATTCTATACTTGCGGAAAGTTGAGAATTCAAAACTCTGCCTGTGTATGGAGGAGAAAATGAATATATCAATGCTGCGAAAATTTCTTCCGATCTATTTGATATTCTGGATATACCGTAAGGTAAAATACCTATTTGTTTATATTTAAGTATATTGTTCATAGATTTATCTGCATGAACGTTTCTTGAATCTAAAATTTAGTATCTCACGACTATTTACTGGGATTAGATGACTACTAGAACTATTCACCTTGTACCAAAAATTTATTGCGAAAAATAGAAAAAATTTTGTAGACAAAATAATTTATTCGATCAACCGTGTGTATGAAGGGATTCAAACTGCGTGAATTCCGCCGTAGTTTCGCTGAACGAGGAGCCAGCAGAAGCTTGAGGCGGATGACGTCATGCGTACGTCATCATGCGGAATCTATCAAGTAAATGGTGAAGATTGAGCGAATTAATCGAGAAAAGATTAGTGTATCAATCTTCTTTGTACTTTGAATATTTCTATCTTATAGTCTAAATCAATCAGGGGGTTTAACAATAAAATAATCCATTTTAAATCCGTTATCAATCAGTTGTTCAATTATACATCATTTGGATCAATATGAAAAACTAATTCATCTCATTTGTTCTATTGCCCAAAATATATTAGATGGTTTGGCCCACATTTTTTTTAATGAGGCCGTGAAGCGGCTATTAGATCTTCAACCCAATCCCATCCTTGACACAGAATCACGCCTTGTCTTTGCCTGGCTCACAGTGTATACTGAATGAAGACTTGACCTCTATGGTAAATTCGATCCAGTTGAGTGTTCGAAGAAAGGTCCACTCTCCCGGGACGGCCGGTGCAGGTTTCGATTATTGACTCCTGAGGCGTCTGCCCAAAAGGCCGGGGAACATTAATTGGAGAAGATATCACATGTGAACATCAAGATTTCGTCACGGACGCAGGCTCCCGCTCTATACGTAAGTTTACTACCGTCTCAGCAACATGTGGATCCAGATCGGTCCTTCCATCACAAAATCTCTGCTTCAACTTCAGCCATGGCGCTGTTGTCGCTGTCGCACCCTGGCTTTCCTTTTCTTAGAATTTTTTTCTTTAATTGGAATTTATGGGAGCCTCTGAAGACTGGTTCAATGCGGCCCCATGTCAGAACAGTTGAAGGAACTTGACTGAATTATGTTTTCTTGTACAAAATTGGGTGTATTGAAAAAAAAATAACTCAAGATTTCTCAATGGCTGAAGGGTTGCCCCACTACCTGGGGACACTAACCACTACCTGGGGACACTAACCACTCACCTGGGGACACTAACCACTCACCTGGGGGCACTAACCACGAACCCGGGGGTACTAACCACACATGGAGGCATCTTAAAATTTTTGTAACGAAATTTGGCAACTTCAGGGGAGCACAAAAATAACGAATTTGGCAACTTCAGGGGAGCAGAACTTCAGGAGTTAAGCTTCACTTTAGCTGTTCGTACCATGGCATCCGCCGGCTCAACGCCGCGGAGCGGGACAGTATGGGCTTTTCAAAGTTCGAAAAAGATACTAGATAGTTCTAGAAAATATGACGTAGCAGCCGGCCGAAGCCGGCTACTGTCACGGGAGCTTAGCACAAGGAACCTCTTGCCTCAACGGTTAGAACAGAACTCTCTTAGAATTTTATTAGAATCGCGGACAATTGGGGGCCAAAATTTCATGGTCAAATATGTGTTGGGTTAGATCTAATGTATCATGAATTTGGTCCTAAATGAATACTTATATGATAATGTGGCAGTTTATTTTATCCCTCTATATACAACATCTTTCAAATATTGCGATATTTGATATATTGATTCATATCCAGTTTATCAACATCCCTTCATGTACATGCATATATGTTCTGTGTATCAAACGGTTTCATTGTATTTCACAAATATTTCAGTGTAATTCATAAGTGTTCAGTGTATTTCATAAGTGTGCAGTTAATAAAATCATAATTGCCATTTTTCGTCTTGAATCTTACACTGCAGCTATAAATGAGTCTTCTCACTATCCAATTTAGGTAGACCCCAAATTTCTGTCTAATCACACCCTCATTTTGAGAAGGACATTGAGTCTACTACTAACTACTGAGTA